AAGCAACTGATAACAGATATGACGTCTCATCTGGAAGGTGTTGTCAGAGAGAGGCTTTGGGGTTTGTTACAAAAACATTCGAAGTGTTGGTTGCGGCCAAGGACAGGCAGAACACGGCGTAGTGTGGAGTTCGAAGTAGACGGGAAGCCGGTGAAGCATACGTTGAAGCCGTTGAGGCCAGAGTTACGAGACGAACTAGATAAGCAGATAGACGACATGTTGAGTATGGGTGTGATACAACCTAGTAATTCCTCGTAGGGAGCAAGGCCGGTGTTTGTACGTAAGAAAACTGGTGAATGGAGAATCTGTATCGACTATCGAGCGTCGAACAAGGGGATGGCGTTGAAGGCTTACCCGATACCATTGCTGTGGGAGCAACTGCAGTTAGCGGCAGGTCACAAGTATTATGTGTGTCTAGACTGGAATGTACCCCTGGGGGCAGAAAGCCGACAGTTTACTGCGTTTGTGTCGCATTGGGGCACATTCGAATACACTGTGATTCCGTTTGGTGTTAAGAATTCGCCGATCCTGCCTCAGCAGGCGATGGATCGCGCCTTTGAAGGTCTCATAGGAAACAATGTCAACGTGTACATTGACGATATTGTCGTGTACGCTGATGATTTGGATACGTTGTTTGAGCGTCTGGACCAGGTGCTCGGGAGGTGCTGCGAGGATTTGGGGGAAGGTTTGCTGGGGGAAGGTTTGTTTCTGAAGCTGAAGAAGGGTGAATACGTGAAGCAGGAAGCAAAGCTGTTAGAGTTCATTGTAAGCGAGGAAGGCATCGAGCCGGACCCGAAGAAGGTGGCGGACCTGATGAGAGTGGAAGCTCCGTGTAACGCAAGAGAACTGATGTCGTTCTTGGGTTCTGTGACTTACCTCCAGAGGCATATTCCACAGTCCGCGAGTGGAGTTGCTGGCATGACTGACATGCTCAAAAAGAGGACTAAGTTTGTTTGGAGTGAGGCACGAGAGGAGGAGTTCCAGGGTACCAAGAAATCGGTGGCCGAGTGTGTGTTGCTAGCAGCGCCGGCAGACATTGAAAAGTTCGTGCTAACGACGGACGCCAGTGATCGGGCGACAGGCGCCATGCTAGAGCAGAAAGTAGGCCCGAGGGTGTGTTCCGATCGAGTTTGGTAGCAAGAAGTTGGACGAGTGTCAACAGCGGTGGGATACGCGAGAAAGGGAGTTGTATGCGGTAAGGTTCTTCGTAGAGAGATGGCAGGATTACTTTTGCGCTGCGCCGTTTACCATCAGGACTGATCACCAACCTGTTGTATTTGGCTAGCTCTACTAAAGGAAAGCTAGCAAGGTGGTCGTTGTTCCTACAACGGTTCGACTTTGAGATAGAGTACCTGAAGGGCACCGAGAACGTGGTGGCTGACTGGTTGTCTAGAGCGAACTTACGAGAAGATGTCGGGGAGGACACGTTGGTGGATCGAATTCAGATGAATCCAGAGCTAAGGGTGGCGTACTGTGCGGAAGCCGAACAAGATGAGGGCTTGTCAGTACCACTTGTTGAAAGGTTGAAAAGGTAAGCGAGAGAAGATGAAAACGTGGGGAAGCGTAGACTTCTGCCGAGACTGTCTACTTTGTTAAGCGCACCGGTAGCTGTGTCGAAGCCGGGGACTCTGGACAGAGACTGCTTCAATGAGTTAGTTTCAGTAGAAGGCCTACAAGTGGTCAGTGCCGTGCCAGGTGGTTGCGAAAGTACACAACACGCTGTATGTGC